GGTGGCTGGGCAGAAGAGCTGGTGTGCCCAGGTCTAGCCAGGCTTGCTGTTAGCCTCAACTGCAGCACAGTCGGTTTGAGCCTTGGTAGAGCAGGGAGCCCTGGAAAGTGTCTGGAGATAGACATGTCCATTCTCTGCCCTGGTCTGCAGTGATTTGGCTTAGGCAAAGTGCTAATGTCTTAAGCTTTGTTCTTGCAGTGGGAAGGCAAGTCTGCTCTCAAAAAGGAATGTTAAGAAGACTGATTCAGGGAAAAGTGATGGTGCCAACTATGAGATGCCAGGATCTCCTGAAGATGTGGAGAGAAACCAGAAGATCCTTCAGTGGATCATAGAAGGAGAGAAGGAGATCAGCAGGCATAAGAAAACAAACCATGGGTAAGGGCTGGCAGAGTGAGGGGTCTTCATACTGTTGCATTGCATCCCCTGTACAAGGTGTGTGTGTGTCTAGGCTGTTGGCAGGCTGCTTTGTTCCTGGACATCTTGGGAAGGCAAGAATCCACCACACCAAGGGTTTAGACCCTTTGGAGACTGAGAATTGCTTGGGAGTTATGAGGGCTGTTTTTTCTGAAGGATGACTGTAAAAGCCAGGGCAGGTTGCAGTGCCGGGGCCATGGGCAGTGCCAGGCCACCAGGTTCTGTCCCTGGAGCTGGAGAAGGATGTGCCCATCTCTGCAACATCCTCTTCCCTGGAGATGCTGACCATTATATTGGCAGCACAGGGGAGGGCATCTTTTTATGTATTGTGGATTGATGTGAGTCCTTACACTGATCTATGGGGTTTGCGTCAGAGTTGGGCTGCTCACTCTGGTGTCTCTGGACTTGGTGTCAGGAAATCTCTAGAGGTGGATGGTACTCCCCTCTCTGCAGAAAGTCTTGCTGTGAGAAGCTTCCCAGTGGTGCCCCTGTCCAGCTGCAGGAGCAGCAGGTCTACCTGGGAATGAGTGTGTGCCTGTGCAGAGCATCTCAGTGGTCCATGTAAAACCTTTGTGTTTGTTTGTAGCTCTTCAGGTGCTAAGAAGCAGCTGTCCCATGACATGGTCCGACCTCTCTCCATTGAGCGACCTGTTGCGGTGCATCCGTGGGTCAGCGCCCAGTTCCGAAACGTTGTCCAGCCTTCTCACCCCTTCATCCAAGATCCTACCATGCCGCCCAATCCAGCGCCCAACCCTCTCACCCAGCTGGAAGAAGCTCGTAGGAGGTTGGAGGAAGAGGAAAAAAGGGTTGGAAAACTCCCCCTTAAACAAAGGTACTGTGATAAGGTCTGACTGTGCGTGGGAGGGATGGGACAGACTGCTCTGAAGGTGAGCAGCTGAGAGATGGCCATGTCCTCTGCTCAGGTCTCCAGCACCAACTGGGTGCTCTCTCTGTAAGAGGTCAGAGAAATCTGCTTCAGTCCCTCTGACATGGTGATGCGAATGCCAAACCCTCCTTGAGGGCCTGAGCTTGAGGTTTGTGGGTGGAGAGGCTGGAAATGCTCCTGGCAGGATGGGCAGGGGCTGAGCAGGGGGAGTACACATGGGAGAGCTCTCTCCCCTGGTACTCACTGTCTCTGCTCATTCACACTCACATGATGACTCCAGAGATTGGTGCAGGAGCAGAATTCAGCAGAATTCACCAGGATGCAGCAGAATTAAGTGCAGAAGGTGAATATGTATTTGCTCTTTACCTACATCTCACACAGGCTTCTGGCAAAGGCTGCTTGTGGCCTCTGGGTGAGAGCACTGTGCTGTAGCCCTGGTGCAGCAGCACTGACTCCTGTGTTGCTGTACCCAAGCCACTGCATCCTTTTATGACTCAGCTTAATGGCTGTTGCAGAGCTCCTTCTCCTGCTCTGTGTTATCTTTCAGTGAACATTATTTGCAAGGCACATGGAACTCTCCAATGAAAAGCAGTTTGGAAGTGCTAGATAATTACTGTTAACAGCTGAAAGCACTTTGTCCATTAAAAACCTTTCATGGCTTTACAGCTGCCTTCTGAAAACTCCAGACTTTGCGGTCTGACTCTTAGAAACACAAATGTAATTTGAAAAAGAAGCTCTTAATTGCCAAGCTCCAATTATTTTTGCTTGCAGTGACCAGGTAGCAGACTTGTGCATATTCATGTCAGAGCACTGATTGAAAGCCAGGTAATTAGAGGGCTCTCCCAAGTCAGGTTAAGCCAAGTTTATGTGATGTACCTTTCAGCTGGTGTAATTGGATAGATAGGTTTATTAGTAGAGAGTCATGTAGAGTCCTACTAAAGTCATGCACCTTCCCCAGAAATGTCTGTCCACGCTTTGGAAACACTGGCCTGGGCCGTGCAATTAATGCTCATTAATTTGGCATGTGTTGTAAGCCTGGTGTTCACCTGTGGGAGGACAGGCCGAGTGGGCCCAGTGCTGGGCTGCTCTGCTTGCACAGGAGCTTGCCTGGAAATAGGCCTCTCAGCTCAATGAGAACACAGGAGAAACTGAGAGGGAAGCTCACATGGAAACACCATTTATTTCAGTCCAGAGCTTTGAAGAACTCTGGGAAATTGGAGCCAGTGTCCCAGGTTTGTCAGCAGCCTTGGGGAAGCATGGAGAGGTGGAGGTGAGCCCAGAGGTATCCTTGAGGCTCCAGTTGAGCTGGCTGTGTGAGGAGAGTGCACAGTGCCAGCTCTGTACAGCCAGGCTGGCTTGCCAAAACGGCTCTCCAGCCACTCCCCTCCCAACAATGGCCTTCCCCACCACACTGGGGGTGCCACAGTCTCACTCCCACCCCGTGGGAATAAGGGAGGCATCTGCAGTGCTTGTGCCGGGAACAGTAGATATTCTTCTGGAAATCACATGTATATTGCAGAAAAAAGCCTTTCTCTCCCTTATTCCCCAGCATTTGGAAGGACCTTGATCTCTGAGATAGCTACCTGGCTGCTGCTAGCAAGCAATGCAGGATTAGCCATCCAGTACTGAATGACCTGCAGATCCAGCAGCACACCAGTGCCCAGCACTGCAGTCCCAGTGCCCATCAGGTTCAGGATTTGAGCCATTTTCTGTAGCTCAGTGTCACAGTTCATAGCTGGATGAAGTAATTAATACCAGCTTTTTAAAGAAAGGATCTTTGCAAGCAGGGAGAACATTAGCATGATCTCAGTTTGGAATTAGCTGTGTTAGGCCAAGTTTGGAAGAGGAGCAGAGCTAGTGGCCAGGATACCCACCAAGGTAACATCTGCTGGGTGCTTTTGGAAGCTCTCCACCCCCAGCACCACTGGTTTATATAGCTAAGGAGTCAGGACTGGAATGCAGTTGCAGAGAGTCAGGTGAGTGCTGCTGTTTCCATACCAGATAGCATTTCATGCCTGTGACAAATGCAGCAACCTCCAGAAGGGGCAGGGCAGTGGTACCTGGTGCTGTTTCTGGGTCACACTGCCACCCAGGAGAGGGGTGCAGGTGGCAGCTGTAATGAGGCAGGGCTCAGAGTCAGTCTGGTGGCCTCTATGTGCAAGCCATGGTCTCAGGAGGTCTCTTGGCAATGACGAAAGTGGAGACAGTTGTGTTGTCTCATTCTCTTGAGAGAAGCTCTTGGAAAATTACATTTTCAGTGATTCCATATTAATCAGCTCAGCTCTAGCCTGCTGGAGGTCGGTGGCTGCAGTTTGGGATGTGTGTGAGTTCTGCTGATAGACTTAAAGCTGGCCAGGGATTTCAGGGGCAACAAGAAAACCTTCTCTAGGTACATTGGTGATAAAAGGAAGACTGGGGAAAATGTGGGCCCTCTCTGGAAGGAAATGGGAGAGTTGGTTACCTGGGGCATCTAGAAGGCTTTTTTGCCTTGGTCTTTACCAGCAAGTGCTCCAGCCACAGCACCTGAGTTGCAGGAGGCAAAGGCAGGGACTGGGAGAATAAACCATTGCCTGATGTGTTAGAAGTTCAGATTTGAGATCATCTAAGGAACCTGAAGGTGCACAAGTCCATGGGATGTGTTGAGCTCCATCCACGGGGCCTGAGGGCACCAGTGGATGAAGTGTCTCAGCAGCCACTGTATTGGAGAAGTCATAGCTTAAGTTCCCACTGACTGGAAAAGGAGAAACATAGTCCCATTTTTAAAAAAGGAAAACAGGGAGGCTTGGGGAGCTAAAGGCCTGTCAGTCTCTGCTCTGTGCCTGGCAAGATCATGGAGTAGCTCACTTCTGGGCATCATTTCAGGCATCATCTTCAGGCACGTCTCTGCTCTGGAAAGAGGTGAGCACTGGAGCCAGGCTGAGCGCCTTCGAAATGGCCTTGCAGGACTGAAGTACATGGCAGGAGGAAGGAGCCTCCCGGCCACTGGCACAGTCTTGCTTCTTACCCTCTTGTTTCTGCCACAGCAGAGCTCAGGGGTGTCCTGTCCTCTCCTTCTCCCCAGGCACAGGAGAACAGCAGCCTCTGGGAACCCGCTCTGCTGCCTGCCTTGGTCACGCTGCAGTGTCCCCAGGTCCCCAGGCACACAGCAGCCCTCTCTTAGTCATGACTTGTCTCTAGCAGGATTAAGAGAAGCTTAGGGACTTTGAGGTTTTCCAAACCCCTTCAATTAACTTCTGGCTCACAGGGTTCACAGAATTTGCCTGAATTTATGACCCATTTTCCCTTTAAATGCCTCATATTTTTTTTTCCAAGGATGACTCAATTCCTTAATGTTTTTCTAGCTAAAGGGCATCCTGTGCTTTGATACAGGGATGGGAGAGGCTCTGAGAGCTCTGCTGGCACCAGGAGCACAGACCCTTGCCTGTCAGGATGCTGCATCTTCTCCAAAGGTCTCCCAGGCAGAGCAGGCACCAGGAAGGTTGTTCAGTTGAACTTTAGACCTCTCCTGCCTGTAGGAAGAGGTGAAAAGGCTGTGTCTGGTGTGGGTTTGCAGTGCCAGTGTTTATGTGGGCACACCATGAAAAGGTGCTCTGCCTGCCAGCCAGTGTTTAAAGGTTAAGGTCAGAGTCATTTCCAAAACGGCGATTACCTCATGTGCTTGGCAAATTCTGGATTTTACAGCAACTTTCCAGTCATGTAAATACAAAATCATCTTTTTTTACCCAGCATGCTTTTAAAGTCTTTTTTTTTTTAAGCTGCCAAGTGTGTTTTATGTGACTTTGAAAGGGAAGGCTGCCTCTGGCTCAGACCTCTCATGCCAGGGTACCAATTTGTGTAGGCTGCTCCAGTGTTTGTGCAGCATTTTCAACACCCCAGATGAAAGGCTCTGCAGAAGGGCAGAGTACCCTGAGTTTTATTATTGCTGCTTTTGTCTGTCTCTGAAAATGGGGTGAAGGCTGGGCTGACACTTTCAGTCTAGTGATGGCACCACGTAGCCGAGCTCCGGTGTGTGGGCTCAGACCAACATTCTGAGAGCTGGGAAAACACAGGAGATGTAAAGTCACTGAGGTTTGGGAGAAGGCAGCTGCCTTGGCATGGGACGGGCAGCAGAGCCTCCAGCACCGTGGGCTGGCACTCAGCAGGTCATTTGTATGTTGGAGCAAGTCCAGATGAGGCCACAAAGTTGATAAGAGGACTGGAGCATCTCCCCTGTGAAGACAGGCTGAGGGAGTTGGAGCTGTTCAACCTGGGGAAAAGAAGGTTGTGTGGAAACTTCAGAGCACCTCCCTGTGTCTGAAGTGGCCTACAGGGAAGCCGGAGAGGGAATCTTTGTTAGGAGCTGCAGTGACAGGACAAGGAGCAATGGGTACAAACTGAAAGAGGAAAATTTAGGTTAGATATTAGGAAAAAGTATTTTCCTGTGAGGGTGGTGAGACACTGGCACAGGTTGCCCAGGGACGTGGTGGCTGCCCTGACCCTGGTGGTGTTCAAAGCCAGGTTGGATGGGGCCTTGAACAACCTGGTCTAGTGGAGAGGTGTCCCTGCCCATGACAAGAGGTTGGGACTAGATGATCTATAAGGTCTATTTCAACCCCTAAAATTCTATGTTATGTTTGCACGGCAGGTTGAAGCCCCAGAAAAGACCAGGCAGTGGTGCCTCCCAGCCCTGTGAGAACATCGTGGTCGCTTACTACTTCTGCGGAGAGCCCATCCCGTACCGCACCCTCGTCAAGGGGCGCGTGGTGACCCTGGGACAGTTCAAGGAGCTGCTGACCAAGAAAGGGAACTACAGGTAAGGGCTGCTCCCTGCAGGTGGTACAGTGACAGCAGACTGTCAGTGACCCCTGGCAGATGCCACTGTCAGGACATGGCAGTGTTGCCCCCACCAAGGTGAAGGAGTTTGGTGGAGGTAAGTCAGGAGGATTCCCTCATGACATGCTGTGGTGAGGATGTGGCAGCATGGCCAAGGCACCTTGGCTGATGAAGAGGCAGGTTAGAGGGATGAGGGAGGTCGGGGTTTGTAGCAGAAATGTCCTGCATCATGATTTGCACCTCCAGCAGAAGCTGCTGAGCTGCCCTGCAGGGTCCTGAGCTGGTGAGGAGCAGCATCAGCTGGTACTCAAGTGATGCTGTGGGGAACTCTGAGACTTCAGAGCTGTTTTGGCTCCTCCCAAAGCTTTCTTTGGTGAGCACAGGAAGGTTGTGTCCTGCCAGAGTCCCAAAGCAGCCAGATGTGGTCTGTGTAGGTCTCCAAGTTCCCTCTTCCAAGTAGGAACTGCCATGGGAAAGCCTGCCTAGAAATGCTCCACCAACACAGGTGTCTCAGCTACTGCTTTTGAGAGAACTGTGGATGGGCTTGGATTCAGGGCTGTAGCTCCTGATCATGTTGCAGGGATCCCCACTACTCTGTTTGCTCACTGGGTGAGGGCAGGGGCAGAAGTTTGGTTTCAGTTGCCTCCACATCTCAGGGAGCATCTCCCCACACACCATGAGCTCAGAGCCATGGAAGGGCTGTGCCCAGGTTTGAGGACCATAGTACCCCATGACCATTCACCTGCATTTTTCCCTCCCCCCCCACACAACGTTTGTGTTTTTTCAGGTATTACTTTAAGAAAGTGAGTGACGAGTTCGACTGTGGTGTGGTCTTCGAGGAGGTGCGGGAGGATGACACCATCCTGCCCATCTTTGAAGAGAAGATCATCGGGAAGGTGGAAAAGATTGACTAGGCTCCTGGGCTGCTGAGGCACGAGGACAGGACTGTGAAGGACTCTGGGACCGGAGGAGAAGGCCTGGGGTGGACACTGGTGGTGCTGCTGCCGTGGGCACCAGGCAAGCCCAGGGTGGAGGGGCAGCACCCACTCCCCCTCCAGCACAGACCTGGGCAAGCTCCAGGACACCGGTGGACACCGATTCACCCCACGAACCTGCCAGTGGGAGCCTGGGCTCCCTCTCCATACCGAATATAAGTGTAATGTAGCATTGTACAGTGCATTAGAAAGTGTAATATGACCTTGTTTACTAAAGCTGCATATTTTTGATATATTGTAATAAAAGGAAAATATTTCCAATGTCACAGTGCTCTTATGTAAATGCAAAACATACAGGTACTGCAGAACTCGCCCAAAGTGTACAGCCATCTGTCAGACTCCAGCTGCTCCATGTTGTCCCTGCACCCTGCCCTGTGCCCGTGGCCTGGGGCAGAGCTGCTCTCGTGTGTGCAAGGGGCATCCCCACCCCCGAGGGGCTGTGAAGGTTATTGAGCCATTTGGAAGGAGTCAGTGTCTGGTCTCCTTGGCAGGCTCAGCTGCTGGACATGGTAGGATGGGTCTTTTTTTTCCTCTTGAGCTTCCTTGCAACCGAGTAGATCCCTGAGGGATGGAAGGGTCAGTGCCTCCCGGGACTGGAGGCTTACAACAGAGTAAGGACCAGCTCAGAGCTGGTGTGGCAGGCTCAGTGCTGGCATCCCACAACCTGCACACTCTTGTGTGTGTGTCCTGTGCCCCTGGAGAAGGGATTGCTCCCTGGGAGGTGCTGGGCTGGCACCCATGTGCCCAGTGAGGACATGCCCAGACCCCTGGGCTTTGAGCAGGGAACTCTTTAGGAGAACCATAGGAGGGACAGAACTGATGAGACACTATAGCTGAGGACAAAGTATGTGTTTGTATGAGTCCTTCATCTTTTGGCTTCTGTGTCTGGGGAGGCAGCATGAGGGCACTGCACAAGGGGAGTCATAGATGCCAGTCTGTGGGGCTCATGTAGGGCCAGTGGGCAGCTGGCACCCCGGGAAGCCTCCTGGGTGTACTCGGCCGCAAGAAAGTTGGGGCTGTGCCAGTGCTCCACACCCCTGCCCTTCTCCCTGCCTGGGCCCTGCTGCCCTGGCATCCCACTACTGTGTCAGCTCCTTTGGAGACCTGCCCTTGCCCACCCACAGAAACAGGGGTGACTGCCAAAGCTGGGGACTTCCACATCAGCATTTGTCCTGTCCAGTGCTGCTCTTGGCCATGGTGGCACTGGAGCTCCAGGGCCCGCGTGGCACCGCCGGGGTGCGACTCAGCCTGTTGTATATGTCACCGAGTGCCTTTAAACCACAGTTCTGGGACTTGCCTATACACTACGTGAAGTCCAGTAAAAATCCACAATTTTTTTGAGCTCGGGAACAGCATTATGAGGGGTTTTACTCCCTGGTTTTGAAGTTCTGATGGTGGTGTGTCTGGTGAGGTTGTTAACATGCCCGGGATTTCCGTCTCCCCTTTTTTCTCAGGGGGTCCCTGTAAATATGTACAGCGGCTGCGCAGCCCCGGCGACGTTTCCTCTGCATTCTCATGTGCTGACTTGTACAATGATCTTTTCAAAGGTACTTGGATAAAATGAAATAAAACCCCATGTCCCAATGCCTGCTGCTTTCTTCCTTCCCTGTGGAGCAGACACAAGCCCTCAGCAGCCTCTGGATGGGACTGGTCCAGTGAAGGGCC